TAGGATATATTCTCTGAATGGACATCAAAGCACTTGGACATCAAAGATCATCTGCTACAAAATGCTGTAAATGTACAGAATGACTAATGACCTCAGAGATCCATTGTATAATTCTTTCTTCAGTTTTTTCTTAAGTAGCTTGTTGGTGCAAATTAAATTGACTTTAAAAATTCTTAATTACAGATTTTGATCATTCAATGATTTTCTTTAAATGAAGCTCCAAGTCGGCACATCCGTTTATTCAGGTTTATGGATAGAACGGCGAATGTAGTGTTTTACTAGGTTAAATTTCTCCACTTAAAAACTGTAAGGACAACTATGAATTTGAGCTCTTGCCACTGAAATACAAAAACAATGATTCATTCAGCCCCTACATATCGTCCACCGCTAATTAGTAGCTTTTATGTAGCACCGCATATATATATATATAGTGGATCAGACACAGCAGTGCTGCTGGAGGTTTTAAACACTGTGTCCACTCACTGTCCACTCTGTTAGACACTCCTACCTTGTCAGTCCACCTTGTAGATGTAAAGTTAGAGACGATAGCTCATCTGCTGCTGCACAGTTTGTGTTGGTCATCCTCTAGTCCTTCATCAGTGGTCACAGGACGCTGGTCACAGGACGCTGTTGGCTGGATATTTTTTTGTTGGTGGACTATTCTCAGTCCAGCAGTGACACTGAGGTGTTTAAAAACTCCAGCAGCACTGCTGTGTCTGATCCACTCAGACCAGTGCAACACACACTAACACACCACCACCACATCAGTGTTACTGCAGTGCTGAGAATGATCCACCACCCAAATAGTACCTGCTCTGTGAGGGTCCATGGGGGTCCTGACCACTGAAGAACAGGGTAAAAGGGGGCTAACAAAGTATGCAGAGAAACAGATGGACTACAGTCTGTAACTGTAGAACTACAAAGTGCACCTATATAGTAAGTGGAGCTGATAAAATGGACAATGAGCGTAGAACCAAGGAGGTGGTCATATGTATATATAAAAGCCTTAAATCATACGTCCTTGCAGCTCTCGTAAATGCTTACACATGCATCAGCGGTCATATTTCTTCCACTCTTCAGGGTAGAAGTGCTGACCAGAGATCATATTTTGTCTTTCCCACCTTAACGAATATCATTATCTGGACCCGGAAGCCACTTCTTTGCGTACTGATACAGCAGCTCCGTAATTCTGTGGGCTTTGCTGTGAATCAAATCTCTGCGCTTGGAGCAACAAACTGCAGACCAGCACAAAGAAGACCGCAGTGTTTCTCACGCCCTCAGTGCCGGGGCAGGCATGTCCACCCGCTGCAGGAACCTCCAGTACACACACAGAGTCTCTCAGCTCAAAGGTTTGTCCCAGTCAGGGTCTGGTCTTCACACTGTGGGCCGCAGCCCCGAACCCAAATACCTGAACCCGGGGCAGCAGGGGGAACGACTGGAGAATACAACAGGAGTTCTATGGAATTCTTTAGGGGACCAAGCACTTCACGCTGCTACTTACAATACAGTAAATCTGGCTCATGGAGACATTTACCCCAGTTACCATGGTTACCGTGATCACGAGAGTCTGAAAATTAATCAATGCTTGAAGTGGAGATTCGACGGAACTGATTTTGGAATGCTGGAATTGATTATAATTGATGCAAAATGATATCTGATCTAAAATTGATCAGAAATGGATGACTGCATAATGCTAATAAGTCCTCATAGTGCTAATTCTAGTGAATTTAGTCTCAATTTCGGTATTTAATAAATGTTTGTGTGTCAGCATTGACAGATAAACTGTGCAACAGTTAAAGACGACCATTTAGTTTCATTTCCAGGCAAAATGGCAATTAAGTGAAAGTTATTTATTTTTCAGCATTAGAAAAAAAAGCTGAAAATATATTTAACAGAAAATTACAGAGGCCTCAACAACTAAACATAATTTTCTGTTATCTAATGCTTCCATTCTTTGCATTCATTACAGCGTTCAAGTTTTTCAGCACTTGCTTTTAATTTTTCAAAGAAATCTGCAGGGATATTTATCCACACCTCCAAAGTTCAGTCTTAGTAGTTGGTTGCTGTTTCTGCTTTTCACGATCCAAATAATCCCAAACACGCTCAGTGATGTTGAGGTCTCAGATCTGAAGCAGCTTGATTTTCTTCTCTCTCTCAAAGATGGAAGCTTTAAGTGCTGTTTATCTGATGGGGGCAGTTTTGGGGTCAACCAAGCCTGGTATGTTGTTATGAGTCTCATTTTCTTTATATCTTTTAATCACTTTATGAACTCCAGTTTTGGAAACTCTCTTTTTTTTCTTATTAACTTATTTTCCTTTGACTTCCCCCTTTCATTATCCAAGCAGATTATCTCATATCTGATCTCTGCAGAAATATGAATAACTTGTACTTCATGGTTGTTAAGACTGGGAATTAAATGCACTTTATACTTTTACACAGTAGTGAATGTGCTTGTTTTCAGGCCAAAATAAAAGTTGGATGCTACATCGATCAGGCATAACATTATGACCACCTCCTTGTTTCTACACTCATTGTCCATTTTATCAGCTCCACTTACTATATAGGTGCACTTTGTAGTTCTACAGTTACAGACTGTAGTCCATCTGTTTCTCTGATACTTTGTTAGCCTCCTTTTACCCTGTTCCTCAGTGGTCAGGACCCCCATGGACCCCCACAGAGCAGGTACTATTTGGGTGGTGGATCATTCTCAGCACTGCAGTAACACTGACGTGGTGGTGGTGTGTTAGTTTGTGTTGCACTGGTCTGAGTGGATCAGACACAGCAGTGCTGCTGGAGTTTTTAAACACCTCAGAGTCACTGCTGGACTGAGAATAGTCCATTAACCAAAAATATCCAGCCAACAGCGTCCTGTGGGCAGCGTCCTGTGACCACTGATGGAGGACTAGAGGATGACCAACACAAACTGTGCAGCAGCAGATGAGCTATCGTCTCTGACTCTACATCTACAAGGTGGACTGACAAGGTAGGAGTGTCTAATAGAGTGGACAGTGAGTGGACACAGTGTTTAAAAACTCCAGCAGCACTGCTGTGTCTGATCCACTCAGACCAGCACAACACACACTAACACACCACCACCACGTCAGTGTTACTGCAGTGCTGAGAATGATCCACCACCCAAATAGTACCTGCTCTGTGAGGGTCCATGGGGGTCCTGACCACTGAAGAACAGGGTAAAAGGGGGCTAACAAAATTACTCCGGTATGCTACGTTTGGCTATTTTAATACTTGATCTAATAAACTGTCAGGAATAAAGCATTCATTTACTACAGTGTAACTAATTACCCCAGTCTCATCTGTGTATTTTTGAGTATTTCTATGGAATAATTCTTACTTCCAAATTGGGAAATGTAACCTTTAGAGTGAATTGGAATAAGCATTTATAAACATTTATGTAGGGTTATGTCAGTTGTCATGACAAGCATATCACTGTTGTTGGAAGAGAATCTCCAAAATGGTAACTTTACAGGAGAAGGAAAAAAACTGCTTTACTTTTAATGAAAGTCAATGGAACCAGACGTTTTTCCAAGTCGTTTTGGGTCGTTTCTTTTGTTCCATTCATCATGAAATTTACACACAATGTAAAGGTCAACAGGCTTTTTCAAATGATGTCAAAAACTGAAAAATGTTTTCTTCCGACAACAGAGATATGTAGGTGTCATGTAGCCCAATGAACAGCACCCAACAGTACAGTGTTACCAAAAACTGTTACTATTTAAGATTTCATGAAGCAGAGACACATATTACCCATCTACTGCCAACGTGACGAGGCTGCACCTTTACGGTACAGTAATGCTTTTTACATGCATGCTTTGGACAGTCACACAGAACCAACGTCAGAGAGCAAAACTGAAGACCCCAGGTCACCTCGCGCACCCTCGGCCACCTCCTATCAGCTTACTGTCACGAAATAACGCAGACGACCTCCGATAGACCTGAAAATGACTGCAGCAGCTCCAGTAACCCGCAATATACTGCGCATGCAGACACATCTTTGTCTGAAAGGAGAAGCTGCACTACACGCCCATGCAGGAGCAACAAGTGTAACAAAGAAAGAAGCACCAACAGGTGGTTCTAGATTGCAGCTCATGCAAAAAAACAGCTCAGACAGTGGACTAACACACCTCTGCTTTATAAAATAAGAGAGAACTGCAAGCAAAATAGTCATATTTGGAGCATTTAGGGTGTAAAAAACAATGAAAAGGCAATGGTTCTACATAGAACCATGAGTTCTATATGCTTAAATGGTGTTTTGCATGATGAAATGGTTCTTCAGATTGATGGAGAATGTGTTGTATATGGTTCTATATTGAACCTTTCCAAAAATGGTTGTGTATCGCACCAAAAGGGGTTCTCATATTGTTACTATGTCAAGCTAGCAACAATAGAAGAACCCTTTTTGGTGCTATTTAGAACCTTATACAACACATTCCCCCTATTTCACCATGCAAAGAACCATTTAAGCATGAAATGGTTCTACATACACTCTTAAAAAATGAATTCTTTATTAAAGACAATGGCTCTATATAGAGCATTTGCATGCTTGAATGGCTCTCTGCATGATTGAATGGTTCTTCAGATTAATAGAGAATGTTATATATGGTTCTATATAGAACCTTTTTGAAAATGGTTCTCTATAGCGCCAAAAAGGGTTCTGCTATTGTTATGATGTCAAGCTTGTAACAACAGAAAAACCCTTTTTGCTGCTACATAGAACCACCGCCTTTACTAAAGAGCCCCAGAAGAACCATGGTTCTAAATAGAACCATTGCCTTTACTAAAGAACCCAGTGAGACTGCGTGATTCACATTTGGGTACCACTAAAACAGACGACTGCAGCCACGTTAATGAAGAGCGGAGCTGAAAAGTGGACTTTGCAGCACTTTCTAACTGGACCAATTGGTCTTTTACGCGCCCAGCGAGAGCAAAAAAGTCTTCAAGTCACGGCGCGGCTGAAAATAGCGCGTCAATCCGCGGCTTACCTGCGCGTGCGCGGCGAGCGCAAGCAGTAAAAGCGCGCTGCCGGCTTCCCCGTGCCAAACCTTCCTCATCCTCATCCTCATCCTCGATCACCCTAAAGCCGGTGCCATCGGGCGCTGCTAGTCGCTCGCTGCTCGTGGTGACAGTGGCGAGAGCGCGCAGGTGGGTGACGAGAGCGCGCGCCCCCGGGATGGTCTCGGTCTCTCTCTTTCTCCTCCTCCTCTTCCTCCTCCTCCTCCTCCACCTGCTGCCGTTAAGAAGCTTTGTGTGTCCGGCTTGATGCCTCACTGACCTGATCTCTCATTCTCATTCTCTCATCCTGTTTTGCTCGCGCGCTCTCCCTCTCTGGGTGCTGTGTGTGTGAGTGTGTGAGAGTGTGGGAGAGCGCTGCGAGTGCGGAGGGAGTGTCCAAGAACTGGCCGGACCAAGTTATACTTTATTTTCTATGGGTAGTAACACCAGCTCCATTCAGTTCCATGTACGTGAAGGGGAACTCCACCAAAATATCTACGTGATTAAGCGGTTAAGATGTGAACAGAGTCGTTCAGAGTGGTTTGGTGTGAAACGCTCCGTTCTAGAGTCAGAATCGTTCACAACGGTGGTGATAGGAACCAGACGTCCACCTCTAAAAGCCCCCTCACAGAACGTTCTTACTTATAAGGCTTATGATTACGTTGCCTGAGTCAATGTTTGTCGACAGTTCTATGTTTAGGTTTTATCCTAAAACCTCTTGTTAATTCATTTATTTTTAATCCACGGTGGAGGGATACATGGATTGTGTTCTAAGGCAAAATAGTTCCCAAGGAAAGCGTATTGTTTCAGATTTTCATGCTTTTTTCCATCATCAACATCCCATATACTCATTAGACTCGTGTAGGTTCACTGGTGGTTTGAATAGCACATACAATGGCTCTATTAGTGTTGTAGACGCTGTGCCCCCTGGTTCCTATCACCACCACAAGGGTCTCCACAACGAACCGTTTCACATCAAACCACTCTGAATGACTCTGTTTACATCACAACAATGGAATTATGCAAAAAAAAAATATTCTTAGAAAAATTGCTGGAATTCTCCTTATTATATTTAGCACCATGACAGAGAAACGTGCTTAGCTAAAGGGGTCAAAATGAAAAACCGTTAACCGTTGCTACGTCTGCTGTAAACATACTCACCTGTTAGCTACACTGCTCAGGTAGTTTGTCTCTAAAGCAGGATTTTGATGATGTAACTTGAAAGTGGAAGTGAATTTTGAATTATTAAGTGTTTTGGGATGGATACTTACAAGTTTTGACGACCGGTTGAGGTTAGTTTCAGCACCACAGATGTATTTATTAGCATCTACACCGATCAGGTATAACATAATGACCACCTCCTTGTCCTGACCACTGAAGAACAGGGTAAAAAGTATGCAGAGAAACAGATGGACTACAGTCTGTAACCGTAGAACTACAAAGTGCACCTATATAGTAAGTGGAGCTGACAAAATGGACAATGAGAGTAGAAACAAGGAGGTGGTCATAATGTTATGCCTGGTCAGTGTAGATCAGTGGGTAGCAGGCAGGATTAGTTAAGCGCCATTTGGGTTTCCAATGATGTATGCAGTTTGGGTAGAGACAAAAACACTAAAATGCTACAAAATCATAAATGTTGTTGAGGGATGGAGCTGAGGGGTGCAGTTCTGCACCAATAATAATATTACAATAAGCATTAAATGCTAGTTTTAGGCCCCTAAATATACGCTTTATGGCAGTAATATGACCCCAAGGTCTGAAGTGGTCTTTGGTGAATTATTCAGATGTGACTTTTTCTACTGCTCCAGTATATTTTTACAGAATCTAATTTCTCCTCATTTGTTTCAGTTCTTCACTTTTAGTTCCTTTTTTGGGAGGTTTAATTTCATCCTGTTGATCTGTTTCAGCACCTGGACCATTTTGATGTTGCGCCCACTCTTCAATCTACTTTGCAGCTTTAGCGTTTTAGCAGTTTGTTGGCATTTTAGGTCCAAGGATCCAAAAAGGCAACAACTCCTAACAAACCCCAGTTCTAATGGATGGATGCTGGATGTACTAAAAAGTTCCACTCCAGTTCTGTGGAGACCTCAATGTTTTTTTGGCCTGTTACTTTTACTTCGCTGACACTTTCGTTAGCTACGTTCACGTCTGCTCGAGTCATCATTTTGTTGAAGTAACTGAACGTTTTACTTGAGGTTGTGGGCTCTTCAGTGTCCCCCTTCCCTCCTTTCCAGAAAAATGAGCAAGACTTCAAACCAATTTTCTGCTACATGTCATGTTCAATAGAGCCCTGGCCTGCCCTGTAATCTATTGTATGGGTGGCCAAATTCTCAAAAAGGGTCACTGCTGTCCCCCTTCACTTAATCTGGGGGGCGGGCGAGCTCAGAGATCAGAGGAGCACAAAAAACGAGCGGAATGCTTTCGTCATTAGGTGGTTGGGCGAAGACAAAGCAATGAAGTCCAAGCTGATCAGTCCACTGCTTGGGCCCCTTGCTGTGATTGAGGGGGACCCCCTTTTTTCCCAGTGGACATGCATGGTTAGGCATGCAAGTGACTGCTGAGCGCCAGGCAATTTATTTATTGCTTTGTTTATTCAATTGCTAACATGTGCTTGGCTGTTCAATGTACGTACTGGCCAATGAAGTTACCTCACATTGTGGATTCCATTGAAAACACGGGAAAAAAAAACACAATTACAAAATGCACACCCACGTTTCGGTCACTGTGGTCAGTCACTGCAAAGCAACTGCTTCATGCTCACAATCGAATGGGACAGTTTTATTGAAGCCCCCCACCCTCCTTTCTCATGGCAACCGGGTGTTTCCCCAAAGCATAGCAACCAAGGGCCAGAACAGAAGGCTCTTTAGCACAAGGCCAGGATTAGCATATAGTGGTCCTGACCCGGGCCATGGACGGAATTTCAATCGCTACTTATGCTGACTTCCAGACTGAGAGGCGATTCTCTGGCTGGGTGAAAGTGTGAGAAACGGGGCAGTCGTCCGTCCAGCCTCCTAAGACAGGCCTGGGGAGTGGACACCTGTGATACTTTCCACGTGCGCTCTGGATGAGGGACTGGCGCCATCTGGCTGCAACAGCTGGAACGGCACTCTGTATGTATGTTTGAGGTATCTGGATTGTTGACTTGTTTGAATGTAGTGCAGAACATGAAACCCACCGAAAACAAATCAGGATGGGAAAACTGTGGTATTTACCTTTTAACCAGTTTATAATTTCATTACTCATAACAACAAGAAAAATAATAATAATAGTCACAGTGTGAAACCAGCAATATGAACCATTTCTCCCCCTTGTAGCCCCAAACAGGCTAAGGTTTGAGACAGAACTGAATTTGTCTATGATTGTGAAAAATGATGACCTGTAATGATCATTAAAATACCGCTAGGTTTGACACATCACCACAGTTTTTACAGTACAAAGCTTTAGAGTCACCAGACCAGAAGTGGGCAGAATACCCCAAACGGAAGTGCAGTTATTTAAAGGTACATTCTGAAAAAATTAAACATGTAACTATCACTACATTTGTTTTAAATATGCGTATTCGCGTCCTTCTGTTGTGCAGCAGTGGCCTCTTAAGTTAAAATTTGCGCTTTAAAGACTAGGAAAACAACCTTCAGCACTGCTGTGTCTGATCTATTCAGACAAGCGCAACACACACTAACACATCACCACCACGTCAGTGTTACTGCAGTGCTGAGAATGATCCACCACCCAAACAGTACCTGCTCTGTGAGGGTCCATGGGGGTCCTGACCACTGAAGAACAAAGTAACAAAGTACGCAGAGAAACAGATGGACTACAGTCTGTAACTGTAGAACTACAAAGTGCACCTATATAGTAAGTGGAGCTGATAAAATGGACAATGAGTGTAGAAACAAGGAGGTGGTCAGAATGTTATGCCTGATCAGTGTATTATCATTTGGAAACTTAATTTCAATAAACTTTGTAAACGTAACCATTTACCATCCACCTCTGCACCAGACCAAACCCACGCATGAAGGGCATGAGATAAAAGTTTTGATTCAGTGAATCAAAGAGTGCAGTGTTGGTGGAAAAGGGGGCGCCAGGCCCGTTGCCAGCAGCGTGGAACAGACATATACATATCTCGTGGTGGCCCAGCAGTTAAGGTCAGCACTTTCTCAAGGCAAAAACAGAGGGGTGTGGGTAGGCCTGGGGAAACTGCAGAAGAATGCACATTTTGTGCTCACTTTTAAGTTGAATCGATGAGAACGACTCAGGACACAGTCTAACGCAACACAAGACAGTGCTTACTTGTCCGTGCAACAATACAGGCCCATTTAAAACCCATTTAGGCTTAATTGAAACCCAAATTACCTGAATCTCCTGGTGCGGCACATGTTCATTTTCCTCTGAATGGCAATCACTCAGTACTCCGTTATTACAAAGAAAGAAAGAGAGCAAGAGCGAGCAACTGTGACTACTAATTTCCTAAGCTGCTGAAAAACAGGCATTACACACAGACTTGACCAAAACACACCCCTAACTGCTTCCATCTGGCTTGAGTGGGTTCATAAAACACTAAGCATCGCAAAGAAACCCTGAAAAATAACATGCACATTTGTTGACTTGGGGGGATTTACATAAATCTCAGCATTAGCCGAGGCTGTGCTGTTCAAATGGAAAGAAAAAGGTACCGAACGGGACAAAGGAAGCGAACAGGCAGGATCACGAACTGAGGCCGCCTGAGGAGAAAAAGCTGCAAACGATTGCGACACTCGAGGTATCAGGCACAAAAACGTGGAAAACGTAGCACAAAGGGATTCTTTTAAAAGCCCCATTCTTTTCCCTTACGCAAACTTAATTTGTGGTTTGGTTTTGTGCACCAAAAACAGTTTCAGACTTCTCATTATGCCTTAGAATATCTAGAATTTAATCCAGGAGAAGAAAAAAAAACTAAATCTAAAATAAAGTCAGGGTGTCGTGTGGGTTTTTCGTGGGTTTTTCAGACCAAGTCACACATCTTTACGTATTAACATCACACACAGACTTGAAAAGAAGGCCCGGCTCGATAGATCTCAAACGTAAAATCAACATACTGATGAAGATATGATGACAATAGTAGATCATTTACTCACATCCTCTGACGTGTCCTTCACCAGGATTTCACTTTGACCGAGTTCTCTTTGAATACTATTTCAACGCACTAGCAGTCAGATTCATCCGCTCCAGGAGGGGGTCTGAAGCACAACCCATGTTACAAAATGTTCTTCCGCATAATAATAATAATAATAATAATAATAATTTTTATTTAGCTCAAAGCGCTTTACAGACAGGTGATAAAACATACTTATACAAGAAATCATGAGTATTTATTTAGAATCAGAATGACAGATCAAATTAGAACATAAAAACCACAAAATGTAGTTTTAATTAAATGCTGAGTTAAAGAGAGACGTTTTTAGATACTTCTTAAAATTGAGCTCTGAGCTTGACTGTCTAATAAAAGCTGAGCTGAGCTCCACAGTTTAGAAGCAGAATAACTGAACGAGTCTCTCCATGTTTTCTGTATTTTACTGAAGGTGGTTGCAGAAGGTCAGTATCTGCAGATCTTAGATTACGTGCTGGAACATGAACAGACAGACACTCTGTGATGTAAGCGGAGCTTTAAGGTCATTTAGGTCACACGTATGTTGCATGCAATTAGGCTGTGTCCAGACTGCCAGCCCAAATCTGATTTTTGGCACATCCATGTGGTATCCAGATTGTTTTGGATAATCTGGACAGTTAAAAACCACATTAATTCTGATTTTTGCCAAATCGGCAAAGTACATTTTTGCCTCCACATTTAGAGGTAGTTTGAAATTCCAATCAGGGGCCGGATTCACTTAAGCTCCTGGGTACATTTTGGTTTTTCCTTCTGAATTTAAATGCCCAAATCATGAGGCAAATTATTCAGTAACTGCATGAAATAAATGTAAAGTTTTGGGGTTTTTTTGTAAAAGCTCCCCTCAGATTAACAGAACATGTGTTTTATGATCATAAACATGTTGCTATATGCTTACAATTTACTGCCGAAAGCCAAAAATCTTAGACGCTCTTTGTATTATTTTATAAAAATAATTTGTACAGAGCAGATCACTGAAGAGACGCCATCT